TCTAAAAAAATGGACTGTTACTAGAAAGTTATGTTACATTAACTCTCTAATAATATTATCATTATTTTATCTTATAATATGCTTAACAATTTTGTTTTGGTAAATTACCTCACACCTTCCAACTTAGTCACGCAAAATATGTCAATAGATATAAATTTAGGAATCTTCTATTATTTATAAGGAAATATGTCAATAATAGTTAAATGCATCCAGAATATATTAACAAAAATCACAGATTATTAATATGTAATATTTATATACCTTAACAAAATTTATACGTTATATATATTAGATAAATTTATTTCGATGNAATATAGAAAATTTGAAACAATCTATTTGATTAAAACACTTATTATATAATATTATTATGTTTGAAAAACATTTACTATACATATCGTAAATATGTGATTACTATAATATATACCAATTTACAAGTGAAAACAAAATGTTTATATAACTATAAACGAAAACAAACACCCGCGCGGTTGCGCGGGTCAAAATCTAGTCTTCTCTATTAAAAGAGAAGTACCTTTTATATCTACTACAAAAAAGTCATGTTGGACTATCTCATTAATATAACATATTTAATTATTTATGTTAATCAATCAAATATATATGATTGAAGGAATATTTTAGTAATTAATAAGATATTAGTAATAAATTTGTTGAGAAAATATCTAACAAGATCTTACTAAGAAGTTTAAATATTTTTATAAAATATGCATTATTTAATTTTGTGATTAATATATAAATATCTATATTAATGTTAATTAAAAATAAAAATAGTTATATTTTATAATTTAGTTATATTCTATATTATATTAAAATAAAATGCTATGTGAAATGAATATAAAATATATTAAATTGGTAAAGGAAAATATTTTATTTTAAAAATTTTCTTTTATTCAAATAAATAAATAAATATCACTCACTTTTAAAACATATTAAAGTTTTTAAATCATATAATATTTTTATACAAAAAATGTTAACATATACTTTTGTAACTCACAACAAATACATTATTTAAAACTTATATATGAATATTTTTTTTATTTTAAAACTTACAACAATATATAATATATAAAATAATTACAGTTAGAAGATTATACAATCATACAATATATAACAATAGAATGTAAATCATATATATTTGAAAAGTTTTGCTATATTTTTATAAAATGAAAAAATACCCGCACGGATGTGCGGGTCCAAAATCTAGTTGGATTATAGATTAGGTTTTGATGTAAATTTGAAAAAACTGAAAAATAGATAAACTAAGAATGATTTTGCGGAAATCTTTGTGATTTCATGAGTTTAATGCTCTGATACCATGAAAGAAAAGAGAGTAATAGAGTAAAACAAGTGAAGAATACTCATATACAATAAGAAAAAGAGAGTGATCCAGAAATGTAAAGAGAGATAATGGAGAATATTGTTTGAGAGAGAGAGAGAGAGAGAGAGAGAGAGAGAGAGAGAGAGAGAGTAAATTGAAGGATTCTTTCTCCTTAGATTTATTTGTAGTTTTACAAGGGATTTAAATACACACAAGAAAAAGATTAAACAAACAATAAACTAATAGGAGTGATATGAAAAATTTAGGCTCTACTTATTCAAATTTGAGCTTCTCCAACGGTCGAATGGATAAGATCCTGTTGATAGGTTTCACTGGGTGAATTTAGTAGATGAATTTCTGTGGATGGATTTCAGTGGATGAATTACATAGATGAATTTCCGTAGATAGGTTGGCACTTTTTTCAGAATCCATGTTTTTTTCTTACATTTCAACATTTCAATCACTAATTTCTTCTATATTCTAACAGCAGTTGCGGAAACTCGGAGTTGAGGAAGCTTGTGTGGTTTGTGTTGCAAGATACCGTTGGAACTGCATCATTAGGCTATTGATGGAACTAAATAATATGTTTTGGTTTTAGTGCTACAGAGATATAATATTCAATATGTTTTGGTTTTGTCTTACACAAAAAATGTTTAAAAAATTTGCTTTAATTTTTTTTCTTAAAAATATTTTAGGAAGACCTTTATAAATATGTATATGATAAATTCCTGAATTTGAGTTTAAAAAAACTCTCCTGAATGTTTATTATATCTTATTAGATTTTAGAAGATATCCCTAATAATTATAAAATCTTCATAAAACTTAGAAAAATATTGATAAATATATATAATATCTTCACAAAAATTGAAGAATGTTTTTGAAAGTGTCTCTATAAATACTTTGTTTTAGGAAAATTTTAACGAATATATATATATATATATACTACGTGTTTCGCCTACATATGTGGATTTATTAATTTTTAAAATATTTATAAATAGATATATTATCAGTTCAAATAATATGAAAATAATTATTGTTAATATGTTCCAAATATTTTAATAAAAAAATTCTTTATATAAACAAAGTTTTTTATCATAACATAACATAGATAATTTGTATTACATAAAAAAAATTTGAAAACACTCATGTATACATATATATATATATAATATTTTTTTTGGATAGCACAATATAACTATTTTATAAAATTATTATTATTAAATCACTAAAATTTTTTTAACTTATGTTTAATTATATTTTAACTAATTTAGTTATTCATTAAGGTTAGTAAATATTTTATAACAAAAAATAAAATATTTTTAGATAAAGATAATTACCAAATTATTGAATAATTTAATTATTCAGTAATATTAGTAAAGACTTTATAAAAAAAAAACTATTTTATATAATGATAACTATCAAAATTATACATAAAATATGTATATACTTAAAATTATGGAAACATTTTTTCTATTTATTTTGATTAAAAAAAAATCAAATCAAGTTCTATAAAACTAAAAGAAAATTTATCAAAACGTAAAATCAAATAATATCTAATATTTGTAGATATTAAAAAGAAACTAATGGTAATTCTGTAAAAAAAAATGCATAAGTGGGTGTTATTCAGTTAGTAATTTCAAATCAATTGTAGATATTTTGCAATCCATCAAATTTTTAAATTTTAAGATTGTTAAAGTAGATGGATTCTAAAATCTCTATAATAGTCCTTGGTCTTGAGTTTAGTCATTTATTCATTAGACTCCATTAATGATGATTTGAAATCCATTTATATTTCACATAATTTTAAAATCCTTAAAAATTGAATAACACCAGATTTTAAAACCTAAATTCTAATCATAGATTGAATAACACTGAATTTTAAAATAGAATTTAGAATTATTAATTGAATAACAGTGGATTGTGTTTAGATTTAAACTCATTTAAAATACAACATTGAATAACACCACCTAAATGTTTTAAGAATGGCTTTACTATAAAACTGAATATAATTATAAAATTAGAATTAAATAATATTTTGAAAATAGTAAAATATTATTAAATTTTATATATACTATGATAGTAATTATTTATATATTCGTAATGCTATATAAGTTATTACCGTTTTTTTATTGAAATTTACTAAAATATAAATCAACTTTAAATATAAATATTCATGTAATAATTAGACTAGATTTTGAACCCGCACATCCTTGCGGGTATTTGTTCATTTTATAAAAATATAACAATACCTTTCAAATATATATGATTTACATTCTATTGTTATATATTGTATAATTGTATAATCTTATAATTTTAATTAGTTTTATATAATATATTGTTGTAAGTTTTAAAGTAATAAAAATATTCATATATATTTTTTATATAATGTATTTGTTTTGAGTTACAAAATTTTATCTTAAAATTTTTTGTGTAAAATATTTATATGATTTCAAAACTTTAATATGTTTTAAAAGTGAGGAATATTTATTTATTTGAATAAAAGAAATTTTTTTAAAATAACGTATTTTCCTTTACCAATTTAAGATACTTTATATTCATTTCACATAGCATTTTATTTTAATATAATATAGAATATAACTATATTATAAAATATAACAATTTTGAATTAACATTAATATAGATATTTATATATATTAATCATAAAATTAAATAATGCATATTTTATAAAAATATTTTCTCAACAAATTTATTTCTAATATCTTATTAATTATTAAAATATTTTTCCAATTATATACATTTGTTTGATTAATATAAATAATTTAATATGTCATATTAATGAGATGGTCCAACATGACTTTTTTGTAGTAGATATAAATGGTACTCCTCTTTTAATAGAGAAGATTCAAAGCATGTCATCATTGTCGGTATGTATATCATTTTTATTTTGCATCAATGTGGTGATGACACATGACAAATCACTTCTCAAATAATGTTTATTAAGTAACATATCAATCAAATTCAGAAATATGACATAACACTTAAGAAAAAAATTCTTAAATAGACATAAATTTACAATCGAGAAGTCTATTTACACATTTAATAAATCATTCTTGAATTCAGAAAAAAATACAAATTCCGAAAGATATAAAATACATTTAGGAATAAAATCAAATTTAGGAATTTATCATAAATGTATCAATAATTTCTTCCTAATATTTTTAAAAAGGAAAATTATTTTCCAAAAAAAAATTAATTTGTTTTTGAAGAAGATGGAAATAAATATTTTTGATTTTATTATTTTCAAAATTTTAGTAAAAAAACGTAGTAAACTATTTAGGAGATTTAATATTTAATAATTAATTATTTAAAATTTGAAATGACAGAAATACTAAAAAGAGATTATTTAGGATATTTGATTATCCTGTTATTTGCTTATTTAATAAAAAAATGTTGGATTTCAAAATATTGGAAATAGTTAATTTTTATTTATGAAAATAATCTAACTATTAAACCAATTATCCCTAGTTAGTAAAGGTTTTATTTTTAAAATCTAGGGTTTAAATTTGGATGATCTCTTAAATCAAAAGATATATATATATATATTTTAGTTTTTTTTTCTGGTGGTACATGTATATAGTAGTAACCCTACTTGACCTACTCGACCATATCTAGGCTTTCGAAGTTACGTTCTCATCCGGCCGTAAAGATGGGCGCCCGAGACCTTTTTGACCTTCGAGAATCAGTAGGAAATCAAAATGACAACCAGTGGAGGCTGGCTAAGCACGTGATCGCCACCACCGCCGGTGAGACCTCAAACCTCATGTTTTCTCCGGCGTTGATCAATGTTATCCTCAGCTTTATCGCAGCCAAGTCTCCCGGAGCCACCGAAGAAAAGATTCTCGCTTTACTACAAGCTTCTTCCACCGATGAGCTTAACGCTGTGTGCTCCAAGATAGTAACCATGGTCCTTGCCGACAGCACAGCAACTGGCGGACCAATGATCTCGGCAGCGAATGGTGTCTGGATTGACAAGTCTCTCACTGTCGAGCAGTCTTTCAAGAATCTCTTGGAGATTTCGTATAAGGCTGCTTTCAACCAAGTTGACTTTCGCACTGAGGTATAGTTTTCTAAATAACCTAACTGCTTAGCAATGCCTTTACATAAATTGGCAAGTGAAACATTAGCTTCGGTCCCAAAGTTACATAAATTATGAGTTCTGAGTCCACATAGGGTATCTAATGCCCAACAAGGATCTAATTTTCATTGCGAGCAACCAGTCTCTCTGGCTCCAAAATTATGAAAAAAAATATCATTAATTTTTTTATCAAATATTAACTGTCCTAAATATCTCAAAACCCGTCTGATGTTTGATGTTGATATAGCTTTGTGTGTCTTTCTTTTGTTTTGATTTAAAAGGCTGATGAAGTGTGTGAAGAGGTGAATGCATGGGTTGAAAAGCAGACAAATGGGCTCATCACTAACCTCCTTCCACCAAAGTCTGTGTCTCCTTTGACTGATTATATATTTGCTAATGCCTTGTTCTTCAACGGAAGATGGGACAGAGAGTTTGATCCATCGCTTACCGAAGATTCAGACTTCCACTGTCTTGATGGAACCAAAGTACGTGTGCCCTTCATGTCCGATGACGTCTTCGGTTACCATATCGATGTCTACCCAGGTTTCAAGGTCCTCAATCTACCTTACAGACAAGGAAGTGACAGGGAAGAAGACGGTCGTGGTTTCTCGATGGATATCTATCTCCCTGATGACAAAGATGGGCTACCTGCAATGCTTGAGACGTTAGCTTCCACTTCTGACGACGAGGAGATTCCTAGCCACTGGGCAGATTTAAAAGAGCTTAAGATTCCAAGGTTTAAATTTGGTTTTGACTTTGAAGCATCGGAAGCTCTGAAAGGTTTGGGGTTGAATCTACCATTGGAGACTATCGTCCACAAGTCTTGCATTGAGGTTGATGAAGTGGGATCCAAAGCTGCAGCTGCTGCTGCTGTAATCGGCGTTGGCGCTTGTGGTCCTGCGGAGAAGAAGTATGAGTTCGTGGCTGATCATCCTTTTCTCTTCCTTGTTAAAGAATGGAGAAGTGGAGTGGTTCTGTTCCTTGGCCAAGTTCTTGATCCTTCTATGCATTAATTTGTGTCTTTAGACTCAAAAAAAAAGTTTTAATGCCTTTTCAACAATGGACAATTTCAAATAATAACTTCACTAGTCCTCCGATTACATTTTGTCTTTTTCATAATATTATGTCTGTTTTTTTTTCTTTTGACATTCAATCAAATCTTCAATTGGTGAGACTATATTTTAGAAATAACAATGATGAAATGCATTGTTTTCAAAAAAATTATTGGTCCATTTAAATTATATTTATCAGATTAGTCATTTAAGTCTCATTTTATTCTTATATTTTGATGTATGGAATCATTTATGATTAGTGTATTTCATGAAGATACCATTTTCATGATTAGTGTACGTAAGTGGAATAGGAAGAAGAGGAGGTGGTGGAAAAGGAGAAGGGTAAAGTGATTGAATGGAAATGGGAGAGAAAAACAAAGTGACAAGGAGGAGGTGGAAGGGAAACATGGGTGAGAAAGATTAATATGAGGACACATTCTATATAAAACATTTAGAATTATGGTTTTCAAATCTCCAATACAAACGGCAGAAATATGTTACAATATACACACGATTATTCTACATCCGTTATATAGAATAGTCTATGCAGATTTCCTTCCAATTTACCCATAACGCAGTGGAAACTTGTTTGATTGAATTCTTCCCCCTTTTTCTTCACTGATTTCTTGTTACAAAAATTTAAGGTTGTTGTGGAAGCACCGTAGCCTACTGGTTAAGATTTAAAGATTTTTATACCCAAATCTGGGGTTTAAATCTCAAACTATGTAATTTCTTGCAGATTACATGAAATTCAGATTACATAGATCTTCAATATGGTGCAAACAAATCTGGTCAAGAATGGATCTTCATAGGATGGCTCAGATGATGCAGTTAGGTGTAGATCTTCAGAAGACATATAATATTGTCGGTTATCGAATCATCTATGTATTTTTTCTCATAATTGTAATTAGGTCTGGGCAAAAAAACCGGAACCGAAACCCTTAGATATCCGAACGATTCCTATATTTATATATATGAAATAACCGAACCAGAACCAGAACCGAACCGAGAACCGAAAAAGTATCCGAATATATCTCTATAATCTATACTATATAAAAGTTGAGGCTATAAGCCATTGAGGACGTCCACGTAGGATTTAAGTCCTCCAATCGTATAATGACACATCATTATATTAGTTTATTATTTTTATAAAATGTCATTGTTTCCAAATTATATTAAAAACGAAATTAATATTCCATATATAACTTAGCTAACAAAATAAATATTAACATTTTA